GAGAGCTTGCAGGGGTAACTGCAGCCGAAACCAAAACCCAGTATGTGAATGATTGTTTCTCTTCAAAAGCTTCTACTACATCATCTACATTTGCATTATTATGCTCAAACTAAATAGAAAATTGACCTGAAAAAATCCATCTGCTATTGACAGTGTCATGAGTGATTCTTTCCTGAAACTCACTCTACTCTTGTTTATGCCAATGACAGAGGTTCCAGCAGATCTCCTGGGGCTTCATAGCAGCACAAGCAGCGAGGGGAAATCAAAGCATTAGCAGAACATGCCAGAGATACCTATGACAAAACTGGACTGTGAGAGGATGGTGAGCCACAAGCTTTTGGCACAAGGCCAGAACAAAATGCAGAGGAATATCTAGAGGTCCTTAAAAAGTTCTGTCTTGAATATGCCATGAAAGTGATTAAGGTACCCCCAATAATAGAAAATATCCTAGCCTGTGAAAAGGCAGAGGCGGGAACACGGTGAAGGGGCATTCACACTATGAGTGGGAAAACTCCCCAAACTTTGCAGAAAATGCAAGCAAGCAGATAAACTGGAAATAAACTGGATTTTGAGGAACTTTGAAATTGCAGAAAAAATCTGAAATTGCATCTTCAGATTTTTCAAGGTGAGAGAGGTATTCAAAGTAGTAGGGACTAATAAGGAAGCACTACAAGGCAGACCCCAGAACACCAATGCTGAACATCTGATATCTCAGGAAACAACACTCTAAAGACAAGATAATATTCAAAATATAGAAGTCTGCAAGCAGAATGATGATGAGGAGATTGAGGATGTAGCAGAGAAAGTTAAGAGTGCCATCCAGAAATCAGTGAAAACAGAAGGTCCAAAGAGTGGGTGGATCTGAGCAAAATGACCCAGGGGAAGAGAAGCTGGTCTGTTCAGGAAGGTACATGGGCTATGTAATACACAGAAAGATAGAAAAAAAAGGAATCTTAAATAAAGAATGAGAAAAGTCAATTCTGCTGTTAGTGCCTAAGAAAAGTGAACTGCTAAGTTGCACAAGCCACCAGAGATGGCTAATCAGGGAAATTGGGTCCTTTTCAAGCAGCTGTGAGCTGTTAGGTCACACTCAGCTGTTAGTGAAGCACTTTGTGCTTCACAAAGCACTGCTGGAATCAGTAGAGGCAGGTAAGCTTGGCTCCCAAAACCTTCTCAGGTGTGGTAAGATCAGTGATCTTGACAAAAAAAACCCACAAGCAATTGGTTCAAGGTGATGAGTAGCACTAGATAGGATATTTGTTATCTCTCAGCACCTTCCCAGCCTTCTTGGGGGAACTCATTAATGGAGTTAAAGTGGCAGAAAGGGTCACAGTAGGAAGATTTGTTTTATGAACACAGAGAATGGAGGTTTGAAGAGTAAAGGCAACAGCTTCTGCAGACTGGTGAGTTGAAGTACTGATCAGTATGTAGAAACCTGGTAAAAGCAGCAGCAATGGAGAAATGAGAATTACATGGAGAGTAACAAGGCAGTGCTGTGGCTGAGGTGGATCATCTTTTGTGCAAAGGCTGCTTGATCACAGAGGGTGGAAATTGTTTAAGGAGACCATGAGGGATTGTACAGGGGAGGTTTCTTGACTTCTCTCCACAGAGGGAGAGATTACCAACTTTCAACCTGTGGTTTACAAGTCCCTGGGAATTCGTGGACTAATGGGCACTGGAACAGGGAAATGGTCACAACACCAAAGAAACATTTGGACAACACTTTCAGGCACATGGTGTGACTCTTGGGGTGTCTTGTGCAGGGCCAGGAGCTGGATTTGATTATCCTGATGGGTCATTTCCAGCTCAGTTTATTCTGTGGTTCTGTGATTCTAAGTCCATGCAGCACCTGTAAAAAAGCAAGTTTCACTGTCAGTGAACTTAACATTTGTGAATGGTCTTGAGAAACCAGAGAAGAGGATTAACAAAAAAAGGATAGAAAGAGTGGCATGTGTTGCAATCTAGTTCCACCTATAAATGACTGGGGCAGATCTGTTAGATCTTGCAACTCTCTCTGGACCCTGTAACAAAAGTTGCTCTAATAATACAGACCTAGTGTTTGCTTTCAATCAAAAATGTTGCTACCAAAGCTTTTAAGGACCTTTTTTAATTTTTCAATGTGTATCATCAGTACCTAAATTGGGGCTGCACTAAACAATGCTTTCATCATCCTTCACGTCATTCCAGGCACTGATCTTTCCTCTGTCTCCTTCTCAATAGCCTGCCAGGAGGTAGAGGATCTTATCCAAAGACTGTTGCATCTACTGCTGACTCTGATGGAAATACAATAGAAATATATGTAAAATACTGCTGACTTGTGAGGCAGGATAGCATTTGTTAAAGTACTCTTCTGCCTTATTTAATTAACTTGTATTACTTAGTGTTATCATAGTTTTAATTTTTGCCATCTGCTGCCTTTAGATTTATGGGCAACAGTATGGTGTCCCTTCTGAAAGAATTCCTTGGAATAGTTTGTGCAGTGATGTCTTGTGAGGAACAAGGACACAGGGCACTGAAATCTTGTTAGTCCTCACATAAGCTGAAGTGTCTTCTGAGAGCTTCTTAAAAGCAATAAAATGTCCATACAGCAGATTGGTAGGAGGAGCACATGCTGGATGAAATGCACAGGGGAGAAGAGATTGCACAACAAAAACCTCAGTGAAGTGCTAAGAATTAAGTGGAAGTAGCTACCTTCCTTTTAAGCTTCTCACTTTTATAACTCCCTTCAAGCAGAGGTGTAGTTTTGCACACTTTGTCCATCACCATTTACATCCAGAGCTGCTTGCTGGTGGTCTGAGCCATAGCGTCCCTTTCAAATGCTGATAATGCATTTCTGCTCTCATTTCCTCCTCTGCACACACATCTGTCACACACAAACACCCTATGGTTGTATTCTGGTGAATCCTCCAAGATAAAAATAATAGGGGCTACGCTGGGGAAAGAGTGAAATAAAATGGCTCCAAGGATTGGAGCCTAAAGTTCCAAACAACAATAAGAATTTAAAAAGTGATGCTAAGGGAAGTAAAGACACTTTAGAAAATGAGAAACTGAGCCTTCATTTCTGACTGTGGTTTTCAAAGCGATAATGGTTTCCTTCCCTCACTCTTCTCAGCACATTAGCACGTATTTCCCTCAAAATAGCAAATTATGAGGACTAGAGTTCAGAGAGAGAGCCAAAGGATTTACTAACATATATTCTATGCATACCAGTGGTGGTTATGTCATAGAGAAAAAATGCCTGGGATTTTTTTTCCCCAGTTTTTGTAGCAATAACCAACAGAGGTCAGGGCATTTCCTAAAGATTTAGGGACTGTTTGGAGTTAATATCCTTCACCTTACTTATGGACCTCCATTTGCTCCCATCCAGTTATTAATCTGCTGGAAACACTGCACAACAGTCACCATTTCCTATGGAATAGCAGCACAAATCAGTAAAAATGGTGTTTGGGCAGGTACCCTGCACATAAGATGCAGGTCATGTGCAAGAATAAAGGCAGGAAACAAAAGCCTCCTGGACACAGGACTGGCCCGATTTTTGTGGAACACAATCCTGTCCTCCTGCTGGATATTCAGGGAAACTGGTTCACCTTTTCTGATCCCTTTTTACATAGCAGCCTCCTCACTCAGTGTTTCAAATAACAGAATTCAGTTTTATTGTAATTTAAATAACAGAATGTTATAAAAGCTTAAGCACAAAAACTCTTGTAAAAGAGCTCTGTTTTCAGGCCAAGATGTGTCTTTACTCCTGCAGAGGCTTTGATGCTGTAAAAGCGTGTCTTTCCATCTTATGTAAACTGCCTGGCACCTTTCAAAGTGATGCTGTCCACACTCGTTAATTCAGTTTTCCAAAGCTCCTAGGGGCAGAGCTGGAGGGAAGCAGAGAGGGCCATCAGTTCAGAGGTCCCATAGCAAGAAAAGCTTGTCTGAGCAAACACCCAAGCAAGGCAGGTGGGGAGAAGGTGAAGGCATGACTGCAGAAGGGGACATCCAAGCAGAGTGCGGAGGAAGCTGCACAGAGCATGTGATTACCCAGAGGGGCAAGGGATGGGGAAAAAACAGCCAGGCTCATAAGAAATGGAGCACAAAGAAATATAATGAAAGGGTTAGTCTCAAAAAACACCCATAAAATACATGCCCAAATGATAGAACTTCTGGTACATGCCTGAATATTTTGAGCAGTTATTTCTTAGAGCTTTGAATAAATATTTCTAAAATCCAATAGTATGATTTTGCTATTATTATCTTATTATTTAAAAGGCTTTTGTTTAGTTCTTCTGGACAAAATCCAAATAACATTAGTCATGTGTATTTAAATCCTTTGTTTTGGAAGTTATCTTACACATGTGGAAGAAACACATCTCTGGTGAACAGTGTTGCTGGAGATGGTGAGGAAGAGTAGCCCTGTGCTGGTATTCCTGCTGGCACTACTCCACAGGCCCCAGCCAAGGGACTGAGATTATACAGACACAGGGTGTCAGAAAGAGTCTGCTTTGGAGAGGGGTTTTTATTCTCCTTTCATTCCCTGCTTTTAAGCCTGGGAAGCAGAGCAGATGCCATAAGAGCCACACTTCCTGCATCAGGACTCATGGCCTGGCACTGGCATCTGGAGAGGCACACATCCCAGGCTGGAGGCCAGGGCATGTGTAACACCTCCAGGGGGTTCTGTGACTCAGTGTGGGGCACCCACCTCACCCTTTTCCCACAGGGCCAGGAACCACTGAGATCCCATGGCTGTGGCTTGGGAACACAGGGAAAAACTGCATGTTACGAGTTAGAATATGGCAGAAAATAGTATTCCGAAAACTTGAAGCAGCATGCTCTAGCGTGGCAATATATTCTGGGATTGTCCTGGCTGGATTCTCTATCTGTGTGTCCAGCCAGCACAAATGTCCACTCAGACTCTCCTTGGGTTTAACTGATAATTTCCTGGAATTTTACATCAGTTATATCAGGAGGAAAAAACTTTTGACAAGCATTAAATCAAAGATAATTAAACCCTCTTAACTGGAAATTCTTTTATTTGTTTAGCTGTGATGATGATAGGGCAGTTCAGTGGAAAGTCAGGAGGCGTGCAGGAAACAGGCTGCTCGGCTGGGCCAGGCTGGGACCATCACTGGGCTGCAGCAAGCCCTGAGGAAGCAGGGAAGTGAGTGGCCAAACCAGGGAATGGGGACAAGCTGAGCCATGGGGCAGGATGCCGAGCTTTGGTGCAGGGGAGAGCAGAGGGAGAAGCTGGGTGGGAGAGGAACTGAGTGCTGGTGCTTGTGTGGATTACTGGAGTACACGTCCCTCCTCTCCTGTTGCTACCTTAACCTGTTAGTGCTTCTGGTTTTGTTTTTGCCGTGGCACAAAAGGAAACATGGGGTTCACCAACTCATATGGTTTCTAATTTAGGTGGTACATTAATACATGCAACAAATAAGTGGATACTTAGCCAGGAGGTGAATGTATAGTCCATTAGCTACTTTGAACTATATTTTTATGGGTGTTCTTAGTATACAATATATATTACAGTAACTAACTCTCCTTTCCCAATGGCTATGCAAAAGCCTTGTGCAGGTGAATTTGTGGGTTGCAAATTCACACTCTGGCTACTGCACACTAAGTTACTCACTGCAGACAGACCCCAACTTAAAGCAGCAGCACTCCTTTGCATAGATTGAATTAATTTGCTTGAGCTTGTAGTTCTGCTATGATCAGGCATCAGCTGCAGTGGGTAGCCCTAAGTGGTTTCAAAATAGAAACAGAAAAATAACAATAACTAGTTGAAACGGAATCCATTTCCATTGATGGTCTTGGCAATGTTAGGTGTATGGTTGTAGCTGATGATCTTAAAGGTCTTTTGTGACCTAAATGGTTCTGTGGTTTTGAATTGGTTGTGTCATTGTAGGTGTCCTGTCAAGATGAGCTTTGGCAGCTCATAAATGGAGACACACAAAGGCCAAGTTCCAAGTCTTTCTTAACGCACGTTCAGGACGCCTGTCACACCTGAGATACAATGTTCCATCAATGTTCAAGCAGTATTTTGTGTTTTGGCTGGAGCAATCTGCTATTTATGTTTCCTGAGCACTTCTTGTGCGTCAGGGAACTTTTGGCTCACATTGACTTGAAGAAGTAACTGTGAAGCTCAGATAGGAAGCATTTTTCTTCAGCCTATTCTCAGTCTGGCCCAAGCTCCTGGATCTGGAGGACTTGCAGAGCTAGAGAGCAAGAAAGCTTCTCTGGAGACAACCAGTCCCTCCTTCCTCAAACTTAATGAAGAGCCATTGCTTGGAGGCAGTGTTCAGGGAGAGGATTTTAGTGGGATAAGCAAGCACCCAAAGCAGTTCTCTTTATTGACCATAGAAGGAAAATAAAGGTTAGCTTGTTGGAATTAATCACAGTTATAAAGGCTGAGATAATTAACTCTGTGTTTAATTAGGAGATCATTTCTGTGAAAAGGGAGGTTTCATGTGTTAATAGTTTCCTGCAGTGCATAAATGCTGGGACCAAATTAAATAGCATGGTAAAAGTAAATCCTGAAGTGAAGGGGTAAAAACACGCAGTATGTAATGCACATGGGCTTGTGGTTGCAGGAATTTATTTTGCCATGGAAAATGACTGAAAAGGCTTAGGATGGTGCTGTGCAGGGCTGGAGTGGGACTTAATGATCTTTAATCATCCCTTCCAACACAGCTTATTCTGTGATTCTGATGAGTCCAACTTGATCAGTAGCATGAATGGAAGTGTAACACAGTGGGTAATTCCTTTTCCATGTAGCCAAAAGGACTTCCCAAGTTCAAAATATGTTCCATGCAGATTGAAAAATTGCTACCAATAACTGACCAGAAGAAAAATAAGAGAGTCAGAGAATGCAGTATGTATTTACATGTATGAACTAATGATTTTTCTGGTCTCCACTCCCTATATTTGTGTTGCAAACCTTGTGCTGTGCAACCTCTGCTTGAATGCACCACCCCAACACAATTCCACTGATATACTGCAGAACTCCACATCAGAACTGCTCCAGCTGTGAATGAGTTGTGCAGAATGAGTTGTGGTGAATGAGTTTGTGCCAAAAACAAGCCAGGTTTTAGGGCCTGTCTGTCCTGTTAGAAATGTTTGGTGGGTCTAACATCACCTAGTGAAGCTATGAGATGGATCCATGCTCCGTGACAGAGGCTATGGAGAGTGCTTTCCAGAGGGAAAACATTGGGGGCAGTGCAAAGCAGTAAAATTCCAGAGTTAGTATTGAGTATTGTCTCAGATAGATCTCAGGGGCCTGATCTTGGTTTAGGATTTGGGGTTTGTCTTACTTCATTCCTACTTTTTTTACTACTAGGAGAAAGATACTGCCCTGGACTGGGCTGTTATTTTACAGACCCCAGGTCAGCATATTGAGATTCTGGAGTTCCTTGAGAAGTGCTAGAAGCTGTATTCTTCAGGACATTTGAGACTATGCTGAAGCCAACAATGTTCAATTTTAAAAAATCACTCTTTTTCTTTCTTTCTTTTTTTTTTTTTTTTTTTTTTTTTTTTTTTTTTTTTTAAGGGATTGACTATGTCACCAAGTAAGTTGCTTCTAGATATACCTTTTGTGTTTCTTTGAGCCAGAGAACAGGACCCTAAGTGAAAATAATATTATAGAGCTTTTAAAAAAAGGTAGTATTTTTTTTAGTTCCAGCAGTACTAAAGAAGATTGAAGGATAAATTGTAATTGTTGCCATCATTGTTTTTTAACTGAAGTCATACTGTAGCTAGCAAGACACTTATGTAACACTATCTAAAATGTCTTTGTACTCAGAAAAGGTCATAAGTACATGACTTTGAAGCTTAATCAGTGGAAGTATGTAACAATTTCTGAATTTCATTATAAATCTAGTTTAAATGCAGTGAAGTCAGCAGAGTTACTTGGGATTTACAGCAGAGTAAGTGTGTGCAGAATATGGCTCCATGATTTTAAATGTTTTATTTCCACTGTGCAGATGTTATACACTTCTCAGCAACTTCCACTGAACAATTTTAAAGAAGAGACCGAGCATGCAAACCCATAAAATACTAGCTATAGGACAAAAAAGTGAAAACCTTCACATTGTTTAATATACAAAAATCTTTTCTAGTGTTCCTACAGCAGTGAAACTACTGAACATTTCATGTAGGGATTACAGTACATAGTTTTGTATGTAGGGCATTTTCAAATAGGATGTAAGAGTAGATACCTGTTCTCTTTATAGTTGTGGTTATCTTCTTGATCCATTTTATATATATATGTATATATAAAATATTTTATGATCTGTAGAGAAAGACATAAATCCTTTGGAGGAGGAGCAGCTCTCCACAGGACCCTGGTTTATGTTCCTTTTGAGCTAGTTTGGATCCCTGGGTTTGCTGGCTTGGAATTTTTGGTAATCAGATGACAAAGCACTTTCACCACCTCACCACCTCCAATCACACAGAAGAAATGGCAGGGCCCTTTGCTTCAGGATACAAATGTGCCATCGATCATGCTGGGCAACCAAAGGCAGCAGGAGGAGATGACTTTCAGCATAAGGGGTCTGTTCCTTTTCTGGGGCAGCTGAAAATGAAATTTGATTTGAGGTGTAAAACAAATCCTGCACTTCTGTATAACTGCTTATGAATAACACAGTAAAAGGTGCAAATTGAACAAAGAACAAAAATCATAGAAGCATAGAAATCACGTTTGGTTTCAAAAGTCTTAAATGTAGGTCTGCACCAAAACTTTCACAGGAGTCTCGGAATTTAGATCCTAAGCCTGGTTTTTTTCAGTACTAAGAGGAATGAAGTAAAATATAGAAGAGGGGAAAGCAACCAGAAAGTGCAATAGACATGTAGTCCATGTAAAACAACATCTCATCTTGGGATTCCTGCATGGCTTTCTCTAGATTGGACCTACGGAGTCTTACCACTGCTGAGCAAACTGCAGCTCCTGCCTGTCTGCACTTCCTGTACTGTACACTGTTTTATTACAAAAAATGCTCCAAACCTGGCCCTGGAAGTAAAAAATAAAATGACAGGAAGGTTTTGTTCAGTGCGCTTGTTTTAAGAGATGCTTTAGGCTGTGCAAAATTCAAAGAGGTGGTTTTTCCTGTTTATTTTCTAATGATGAATGTTACAGTGTGCAAATATGGGAGGTGCAAATATATGAGGTAATTTTTCCTGCAGAAGCATCATGGAACAGGCAGATAAAACAGTACAGGAGTATTTAGGAGTGTTATTTAAAGCTAAAGAGTTGAACAACACGAGTGACTGTTAAATTCATTGCCAAACACAACAGCTTTTGTGAGTGCTCCAGAAAAATAATCATAGAAGTATTTTTGTGAAATCTCTTTTGTTTGTATGTTTTGCTAACTCCACTACAAATTAAAAATAAAAAAAATTTAAAAATTTAAAAAAAAATCTCTTCCTCCTGGGAGAATTTAGTGTGACAATCACTTTTTGAGACAGACCAGTCTGGAAGACAAGGTGCAGCTGTGCACTCTAAGGAGCAAAGAACAGTTCCCAGGCATTTCCTGGCCCAGGAGCAGTATGACTCCCATTAAACAGCCCACTGCTCCAACTGCAAAGCTTGTCCCTCTTTTGGCTGGACATCTTTCTACACCACAGTGGCTCTGCCAGGCAGCAGGAGCAGTGCTGGGGTGCCTTTCCAGTAGGAGAATGCTTGATGCACTGGCATCGAGGTTTTCCACAGCAAGATGTCCATTTTGCTTTCAAGTTCAGCAAAGAAGCAAGTGAGGAGGCAGCCTGGCTTTACTCGTGATGTGGCTCTCTGCCTGCTGGCTCAGCCTGCTGCCAGGCCACCCATGCTCCAGTGGGCATCCAGGCAGCCCAGGGGGCAACTCTTCCCCTGGAAGATAGGTCTGGAAGGCAGCTGTGGGGAAGCTTTGGGGCCAGGGACTTTGCCAGGAGCCAAACTCCCCAGGACCCTGTGCAGCTCAGGGAACAGGTTATCTGTTAGGATACCCAGGGATCCCCCTATCTCACCTGAGAACAAGGCCACATCCAAACTGATCCTGATTTATTTTCTTCAGCAAAAAAAAACCCCAATATAATTAAGTGTTATCCCACTGATGCTAGGCATCAATAAGGGCACTAATAATGCAAATCTAGGAATGGGTGTTGAACATTTATCCCTCTCTTTTCTAAGATTAGTCTAGTCCTCCTACGCATGCAACACTTTCTATCAGTTACTTGATAAGCCATCATTATGAATTACCCAGTGATTTGTTGATTTGGCGTGTATGCAGTGATTCCTCTGGTAAAGCAAGCCAAGAGAATTCATTTCTGACAGGAAGTTTCTGAATAACTAGAGATGGAGTGCCACTAGACATGTATTCAGCTTATTTCCTTGTGAAATAGGCAGATATATTTTAAAAAGTCTTTTTTAACTAGGCTTAATACTGTATTTTCAATGCTGACATGGAAATCAGATTGAATTTCATTAAAGGTCTGAGAGTTTTGTTGATAGTGATTCTTTGTTTTAATTACAAGAACATCAATCTACATAAGTATATGAAATTGCTGAAAACAAAACAAAGCATAAGAGCATCAGACACTTGGGTCTTGTCTGCATGTTCTGGTGGCAGGGCTGGGTACAGTGTGAGGAACATGACCAGAGCAGCTGGTTTCCGTCAAATAGCATCATGATGGCATAAAGGGAGGTGCACTGGGCCCTGCTGGCTCTATCATTCATGCTCTGCAGCTCAGCTGATGTAATTTTCTCTGATGGTTCTCTCTCCTCTCTGCAGTGTCCTGGGGAGCTGCACGGCATTGCCCATTCACGCTGCACTTGATGGATAGCAAAGTGAACAGGAGTGCACCATCCAAAAAGGCAGCAGTGCTGCCTTCCCATTAATATTCCCATGTATCCTTCTGGGGACCTCTAGGGGTAAAAATCACCAAGTCTGGAACTTGTTACCTACTAGGCCTGGAAATTGTTACTTTACAGATGTGGCAATGTTGATGTAAGGCCTTGTGATACTACAGGCTTTGCAAAATAAAGCCATCTGTCCACTGGAAATGAGGCTAAGATTAAACACACATCTCTCTTTATAGACCAGTGACTATGTGTCAAGGGCAGCATCTTTTGTTCACTGACCTGTAACGTGATTTGTAAATGCATTTGTCTCATTTTATGTTCATGGGTGTCCATTGTGGGTTCTTCTAGTATACCAGGACCCATGTAAATACACTTAGTGAAGCAAGCACCTTGATTAGATTTTGGCTTGTGTAAATATTTTATCCTAAATTACTTCTTCCAAATAACTACATTTTCTTGCCTGTCCAATATAAAAACTTGCCTCACATGCTGTTGCTTTGGTGCCAAATTACTTCAGCTTTAACTCTCCCACAGAAACATTTGTGTGCAGAATTGGTTTTGTGCATGTTTTAAAACTGATCATGCAGTAAACTCACTGTTCAGCGACTTCTAGAATTTATTTAGCAAAAAAAAAAAAAAGTGTGAAAAAATGTAAATATTAAACAATTATATGTCATTTAAGAGCCAAAGCTATACCTCATCATGATTCACCAGAAAAATTTTGTCTAACAAAAAGCCCATATGTAATGGTATACTGTAATAATGACATAAAGGAAAGACACGAACAGAAATTTCTTAACATAAATGAAAGTAACTTCTGAAAGTCAAATCCTCGATTGTTTCTGCTTAAGTTTCATCTTTAAGAACAGCAAAAAATTTTCACTAAATTCCTCCCTCTCCTTCCCTGAGTTGTCAAAACTCTGAAGGAAGCAGGTTTTTAGATAAGCTGTTAGATCATTTTTCTGTAGCCAAATAATTATCTTTTGTTTAGAATCTGTAATCAAACGAAACTGGGTTCTTTTTTAATCTGTGTTGTCAGCATGAAATTAAATACGGCTGCTGTAAGTAACATTTATAACGGATGGTACTGCAAAAAGAGCAATTTTGAGTGTCACCTTGACTGGCTGGATATATTCCCTATTTTTCAATATGAATCAAATGAGAATGCAGGGCATAAATGCTCAACAGATCTTTTAGACAGCAACTTTCAGTCTAATTGCATGAAGAATTACATGCAAAAGATCATTACACAACACATCAGTCAGAAGAACGTCATCCTCATGGCATTGCTAAGGGCAGGGAGATTACAGCAAACGTCTTGTGCCTTGTCTAAGCTCTTTATTTTTATTTGGCTCTGGCTTGAAAGATGTAAAAATTCTAGATTATAAACCCAGTGTATTACATGCTTTTGTGAGTAACCCAGGTTAGTTTTAAATTGCATAGGTTCTGTGGCTTGTTCTGTGCATCCTCAGATTATCACCTACAAGGATATAAAGGAATAAAGCTGTGGGCCCCTGTGCACATGTCAGATCCAGAGCAGGTCTGTGGCAGGCAGAGCCTGGAGCTGGCCCCTCTCCCCTTGTGGTGCCAGTCTGTGCACACAGCAGCCAGGCACACACACAGCCTTTGGGATGTGACCCAGGCTGTGAATTCCTTTTTAAAAGGTTGCATGGTGGCAATTGTCTTCAGCTGGGAAAGGGTTTGCTGTCTCAGCAGAGGACACTGAGCCAGATAGACAGAAAAGCATAGTCAGGTGAAGTTGGTAAGTGATATAAACCTGGTGAAAGGGTAAGTGAATGCAAAGTCTTAAAGCCATACCTGTACAAAGAGCTTGTGTTGTCTCCTGGGAATGCAGTCAGACACAGACCATGGACACCATTCTCAAGGGAGGTTTAAAAAAAAAGGGAACTTCTGGTTCAGATGACACTATACTTTCCAGCCTATTGACTATGTCTTCTTGCTGCGGGCTATAAAGCTGCATCTAAATACAAATTAGTCAGAGCAATTAGATTTTTCCATACAATCTGAAAACAAGCATCACAATTTACTTTATTACGTGGAAAACTGCATGTTTTCCAAATAAACCCCAGCTGGGTTTCTGGAACTCTGCTGTCAGGAAGGTTTTCATTGGTGTGCACTGAAAATCTGGATCCTGTCATGCTCAGTGCCCATACTCTGTTTTATAGCAGGGTTTTCTTTCTTCAGGCAGAGCTGGGAACACTGACATTCACCCAGCGTGTTTCCTCTGTGCTGAATTCCTCTACGTTGAATGACTAACAAGAGAGCAAGGAACACTCTGAAGATATCTTTTCATTGCTAATGCTCAGATTTTCCATTCATTGCCAAGACACAGCATCCATTTCCAGCAGTAAATGTCATGCACACAATAGCTCTGCTGTCGGTGTGAAAACCTAGCTTAACTAAAGGAGGAGGCATAAAAGATCAGAGCATATCCTCTGTGTGCAAAACTGTACAGTCCAAAGTACGTTTCAAATTCCCAATTTGAAATAGATGGATTAGACACGGTTGTGTCCTAAGGTTTCATTATCTGCCTTCATCAAATGTAACCTTTCTATTTTTTTAATTTGAATCATCTTTACATGTTGAGGCATTAAAATGGATTATGGTCCTTATTTGGCCAAAAGAAGGGAGCATTTGTAGGAAGGTTTGCAGACTACAGACCTGACTGCATGGTCTTCACCTGGATGAACAGTGTTTGTGGCAATGTTAGGATTGTTGTTCTTAGCTTGGAGAAGACATCCCAGAGACTGTGTTTAAGCAAGGAGGAGATACCAGGGATGGCAACAGAAGATAATATAGGACAGAGGAAAGCAGAACCAGCAAAGTCTCAGTGAAAAGCAAATGCTGGGGAACACGTCTGAGGTCAGTCACTGAACCAGAAGCAAGACTCAAATCAAAATCTGAATCTGCCTTGTAGATTGATCTTCAATGCATAGCCTGTAAATTGATTCCAAAGTGGTATAATTCCTCAGTGCAGAAGTGCTCCATGTGTATGAGACTATTTCCCCAGCTTTATATAGTCAGAGACAGATAAAATCTGATTTGAAAATAATATAGCGTGCAGTGAATAAATTATATGCTCCGGCATTTGGTGGTGTTTGTGAGATATAATTCTATTTCTAGTGCAGTGTAGGCTTAAATAGCCAAATGGTGTTTATAGGAGATGGGCTGCTGCATTCCTTTTCAGTTTGCTAATATGCACTCGTCTGCTGAAGCAAACCAGCCCTGCACCGAATAAACACATGGGACTCTCTTCATCTGTGGGATGATGTGAATAAACCATCATGTCTTCACTGGAGATCTATGCATCATATCTTAAATTGTGAAAAAAATCAAACAACTTAAACTGACTATGCTATTTGGATGCACTTTCAGTCTGTATGTTTTAACTTACTGAGTTGAAACTTGAACTAAAAATAATCTGTAGCTGGAAAATCTTTATGATGGACACTAGAATTCCAGCAAGATGGTTGAGAAGTGCAGTTTGTTTTTGTAAAGGCTTTAGGATCTTTGTTTTAAGTGTGTTTAAACCACAAATGCTATTAAGTGTTTGTTTTACTGCTGTTCAGCACTTTCAGGGTTGCATTAGAAAATGGGGACATGTCATTTTGACTTGATTACCACGGAAGACTTTATTTTGTACAGTCCTCCAGGCAGAGCACTGAAACATGAGTTCTGTGCTGAAGAAGTGGGGCTACCTTGCTGCGTAGTGCCACCACCAAGCAGTAAAGAGGTAGGGAAAATATAATCTTTTGTGATTGAGCTGACGACACTCAGTCACTGGGAAAAAAATAAAGCTAAGGCAATGGAGCAAATGTTTATGATTCTTCTCTTCAACATAATTTTCACTGCTACAAAGTGATTCTAAACACAAAGCACTTTGGGAGATTGTGATAAAGATTTGCTCTCTGTTTTAGAGTGGTTCTCTTTCTCTACAGTGATCTGCACAATCCCCAAAACCAATGTCTGAACTTGTGTAGCTGCAGTAGTTATTGGAGTTTTAGAAGGCATCAGGCTTTATTCAGAATCCTGCTTTCAGTCTCCAAAAATTCAAATTCTGTCTGGATAAGGAAGGTGCTGAGCCAAAGCCCTCGATCCTTTCTTCTCAGATCTTGCTAGGGTAGTAGCTCAGTGTAAAGCCTCACAGAGTTCTGCTCAAGCAGCTCCCCCCTGCCCTTTTACTGAGAATCATTTTAGCTGAGACTGTTGGTGTGATCAGCTAATTAAGCCAGACAGAAGCAGGCAGAAAGCCAAGGCATGATTTTTCACTTGCAGCATCTAGGTCTTGAGAAGGAAATTGTTAACATGTGGTTGCTATCTTGCCACTTGGAAATGAATAGTTGTGCTTGAACACTGTTTCACTATGGAGGGGGACTCTGTAAATGGAATTGCAAGCCTTCCTAACAGGAGCAAGGACAGATCACAAACAAGGTAACCAAAGTAACTGCTTGATTCTTCATATGAATGCCCAGAAGGGAATATGTCTATTAGGGTTTTTTTTCCATGGCTTTCTCTATTATCTTTCTCTCATTTAACAATGATCCATATACAAGTAAGAGTAAGGACAATGCAAGTTAAAGGAAGGAATTAACTGTCATTAAGCAATGTCCTTTTGCTTTCAGACTAGCTGGGATTGTTCTTCATCTTTCTCAGAAATCCCTGTGTATAGACAGTGAGCAGGGCTGGCTGCTTGGTTTGAATTTCTCTTTGTTTACAGTGACAAGAAAGACCTCGGCCTGTAAGCAAAGCACTGAGCAAGGATGTGTCCTGAAGGACAGGAACAGCTGGGCCTTCTGGAAGCTCTGCTGGGTTGTGTGGTCTCCAGGCCAATTTTGCTTACAGTATGCGAATTATCTGCATATCCAATTTTATAAATTATTCCAAAGAGGAATTAGTATAATGTTACTCTAAACTTCCCTCCTACCCTCTCCAAGCTGAAGTAAATCTGAAGGTTTTCCGAGCTTTCTTGTCACCCTTCTTCTGTTTCTCCTTTTCTCCTTTCTTTCTTTCTACTGACTGCCCAGACTTTGTGAAAGCAAGCAAGAAAAGACTTATCGAGCTACTTATTATTCTGCCTAAAACTTTTGCATCAACGAAAGTTGGAATAGTTTCTGAACTGAAGAGTTTTTGAAGAGAACATGAAAAGTCCAAAACCTGATACTGTCACATTCCTACTACTTCATGGTACATATATATGTTTCTGCGTAGCATCCAGAGCATTACATTTGACTGTTGCTATTTACTGAGAACTGACAGCACACTTCATGCTGTTCAAGAGGCAAATGAAAATTCAGACCTCCTACCAGGAGCCTGTTCCTTATTTCTGAAAAACTAACTATGCCTTAATTTTAGTCTGGGAGTTCAGAATTGCCTTCTTAATTTGCATTATTCCTCTTCTGCAGATGTGGAAAATTACCTTTTTTACTATATCTCTCATGATTCTCTTCATTACCATCTGCTAAGGTTCCAAAATCTGTTATGAGCTTGCTGCTAATTTCAAACTCCCTTTTTTTTTTTCTTTTGAGAAGAAAACCAAAGACCAAGTTTCCCCCCTCAAAACCCAAAGAAACAACCCCCAAAAAACAACCCAAACAAAAAAACAGTCCATCTGTATAGCTGCTGAACAACTTACCAGCACTTACAAAGAAAGAACTCCTTTCAGAGACTTTTTTCTTTTGAGAAGAAAACCAAAACCAAAGACCAAGTTTCCCCCCTCAAAACCCAAAGAAACAACCCCCAAAAAACAACCCAAACAAAAAAACAGTCCATCTGTATAGCTGCTGAACAACTTACCAGCACTTACAAAGAAAGAACTCCTTTCAGAGACCCAAGCCAATACTTCTGCTTAGGTCAGCCAAGTGAATTGTCTTTTCTTGGGTACATCCTATACCCGTCTCTTCTTTCCAAGGGAAAACAGTTTTCACTAGGCAAGGCTGACACTCTGCCAGCCGGAAAACCTTTGCTGTTTGAAAAACTAAAGCTGTCTTTAATAAAAATCTTCTGTCTAATATAACCATCCTTTCTCTATTAGCCATCTGGGTAGTATTAAAGGGTTCAGACAACAGTATTTAATTGTACTAAGAAAACAGTAATTTTCTAAAAAGTGCATTATTTTTAAATTGTATCTGTTGTTTGATACTTTTTCTAACAGCTGTGCACAGCATAGAGGTATCTGAACTGCTTGGATCCTCCCTGTTCATTTTTAAAGGAGTTGAAACTGGTTAATAATAGTGACAGCACTGTTACAACAAAATCAATTTTAATCAAAATGTCAGTTCGCTGAGCTATGAATAAACAGATCTATGGGTAGTAAACACATTTAGCACAGTCTAACAGGAAAACATTAAAACTGGAGAGCCCTGGACTCCCTCCCTAACTCCATGTGGGCTGCTGTGTGCTGTTTTCATCATCTTTGAAATGGCCACAGCAGGATTCACTCCCACAAGTTTGGATGTGATGTCTGAAACTGTAAGGCAGAATAAGAGTGAAAGATTTTGAGGAGAGGCTCTATACCATGAAGGCCTGAAGGAACAGATATTTTACACCATCTCTTTGAAAGCCTCAACACACACCCACACACGGATTTTCATGAATAACTCTGATGATGCACTTGCCAGCTATTCTGCAGATACAAGCAAGCCAGTAAATGAGTTGCCTACTCACTTGCAGTGGTTGAGCAGGACTGAAGCTGTTGGCAGTGCCTACATCAAAGCTGAAATATGGTGAAAGGATTTGTGTCACGTGTCCTGAACAGGGGTAGCCTGCATCACGCTCATTTGCTGTCCAGCAAACGCTATTTCCTGACACCGTGACATGCTTGCAGGGGCAGGTCTCCCTCTTTGCTGTGCCGAGCAGCAAGTCCAGCCAAGTCTGCTGCTCTTCTGTTTAATCTGTAACAGTGTGACCAACTGTCAAATCTCAGGAGATTCTATGGAGCTAGCATTGTATTTAAAAATAGAGCTGATAAGAGTGTGGGTGAGGGAAGAGCACATTCAGAAATCTGGCTTTTTGTTCTTCGTGAGAACTCTCTCTCTCGCTCTCTCTCTCTGACAGATTTTGCAAAGAGCTCACCATATGGGGGATGAGGGCTTGAGAAAACCTTACCCTGAATTCCTTCAATACTGTCCTCTGCTGGGGTGGTAAACTGTATGATTTAAGTTGCACAACTAAGTGGATTATATGTTCTGTGGCCCTAATGTGCTTATTCATCCTTCATACAATCATTGGAGTCATTACCAAGGTCCAGTCAGTCAAATTGGCAGCACAAAGGGTGATGGCTTTAAACGGACAGAGGGCAGGTTTAGATTCGATATTAGGAAGTGGTGGATGCTCCATCCCTGGCAGTGTTTGAGGCCGGGTTGGACAGGGCTTTGAGCAACCCAGTCTAGTACAAGGTGGCAGGAGGGCTGGGACTAGGTGATCTTTAAGGTCCCTTCCAATCCAAACCACTGTGTGATTCTATGGTTCTATGAAATTCCTTTTCAAGTCTTTACAAGTAGGTATGCAAACCCTGCATATGTATCAAGCAGAGATATTTGTGATATATGTGATTTCCCCACAGACCAGTGGGGAAATATAGGCTGGATATTAGGAAAAGTTTTTCACAGAAAGAGTGATAAAGTTTTGGAATGGTCTGCCTGCGGATGTTGCGGAGTCACCATGCCTGAATGTGTTTAAAAAGAGACTGGATGTGGCACTTGGTGCCATGGTTTAGTTGAGGTCTTACGGAATGGGTTGGACTCGATGATCTTGAAAGTCTCTTCCAATCTCGTCATTCTGTGAATTCTGTGAATTCAGTGCCACAAGGACCTTGAACCCTTGCCCTCTTCAACACGGAACCAGTAACTCTTCTATCCGCCCCTTTTTCTCTGGTAAATCCAACCACAGGACTTGTAAGTCCATATTGTGCTGCTCTGCATGGAATCACCACCAGGCAGGGAGGACCTGCAGTATGCAGCCTGAGGCCTGTGTTATGGAAATGTTTGATGTGGCTGAGTTTCAGGGGCTGTAAAACCCTATATTGCAGTCACTACTTGGAGAGCAAAAAAGATTTCTGTGAGAAATGCTTGAGGCTGGAGATATGGTTGATCAGGACTCTACAAAAACCATCCATTTCAGTGACTGTTCACTTGTATTTTAAATAAATGAGTCTTTAGCAGAGAGTCTTTTACCATATGGTCCAGTCTGAGTACCTATATATACTTCATGTAAAATTATATTTGAAAGTCATATGAAAAATTATGCTAAAAAAACCCAGGGAAAATAAGGGACTCATTAGATAAGGAAACACAATTCACAACATCTCAAATTAGATATCTGGATCTGCTTATCCAACTTGGCTCACTTGCCAGCTCCATGGAAGTTACTGTATTTACTAAATTATCTTCTCTTTTTAAAGAGGGAACTAATCTTGCAACATTTTCTTTTCCTCTCTGCTCATACAAATTTGAACTCCCAACAGGTTCTGTTTCATTCATGATGGTGAGCTCCAAGACAGTTTCAATATATTTTTGTTCTTTGTATTTTTTACATAGGGAGCATATACCTGATGGAAACAAAATACTGATAATTCATCTGTACTTTAGAAGTTCTTTGTGCTTGAGAACTGATGCAAATATTTTTCAAGGTGAAGTGTTATTCTGAACATTCAATGTGCCTTATGATGGCATTTTTTCTGGTGATTTTTCAATGCTTTTGTGGAGGCAGTTTCAGCAATTAAAGCACAACACAGCAAATACTAAATATAGATTTGAGTGGAATGGCTGGTACTTTTTGTTTTACACAGCTCAGTTTCCTTATCTCTGTGCAAAGGAGACTGGTTTACTTAAATTGGAATGTATAAGCTCAAAGATATATAGCATTGAGTACATATAGTTATGTTGTAGAGCCTTTAGAGTTTGTAACGTACTTCTAGGGCTTTAGATATTTCAGTTTACTCTAGAGGTCTGTTAGAGTCAGCTTTCAGAGGTTATGTGTTCCTGCCTACCAGTAACATCTGACATAAAAATGCAGCAAATGTGTTTTGGAAATACTGACTCAATTTATCATTTTTAAAATTAGCTCCTGATTTCTACCTTAACATGATGCAACATGCATGGGGTTTTTTTTTTTTTTGCATTTTTAATCCAAATTTTGAGAGTTTATCTTTGCTGCAAACATCTTGGTGAAAGACAAGGAGTATTTTTGTGTATTTCAAGATACTTCATTATAGCTGCCTTCTTCTTATTTCTTTCTTATTTTTCCTGTTCTATCTGTTAACTGCAGTGGCTGTGCTAAGTGAAGATCTTATCATGGTGAGTGCTGGGGCTGTGTTCCAGCAGGGCCAACACCATGAAAGGCTCAGTTAACATACTGTCAGTGGTGCCATTGAGCAAGGACTTCCATGAACGAACTGACTTCATGGAGAATTTGCTGGGGCAGTGTGCAGATGGGAGTTGTGTGTATGACTGCCTCTTGCACTTCCTTAATGAATATTTGTTGCTCTCCATTTTGGCTTCCTGACTGCTTACCATCTCTTATTTCAGTTTTTTTTTGTTTTTTTTTTGTTTTTTTTTTGTTGTTGTTTTTGTTTTTGTTATTTTCACATTGGAAGCTTGTGCATAACATTGTTTTGGAAGGATGCAGCCAGATCCAGATTTTCAGTTAAGCTATTTATCTTTTCCTATTAATGCATTTTGTTTGGGTCTTTCAAGCTTCTTACCTTGTGAACAGATGGCAATTACTTTTCACTCAGAAGCCCTGGAGACATTCTCATGTTTTGCGTTGATCTTCTGATGCTTGGCTCAGAAGATAGCAAGACCAAGAACTAAATGGTCAGAGTATAGATATTTGTATCATACTGTCCTGCACTAACCAGAAAACTGCAACTGTGATTCTTCAGTTTCATTTTAATTGATTTAACCAGATATTCTTACTCACAATATTAGAATGGTACAGCAATGCACTACATGATGTGCAATTCTTAAACCATGGGATTCCTAAATGAGTGGGACTGTCCCCAAGAATCCAAGCAGCAATTCTTAAACTTCTATGCTTCTTTTACTCACATATATTGAAAGTTACATGCTCACTTAGGAGCTTGATTTCTTGTTGTTTTCTAAGTGACCAAAGATCAGGTTACATGTTTACTCCTCCCAGATCAATTTGGTCACTCAAGTAATGTGTTAAAAGTAGAATGATCTTACAGCCAAGCCAGAGCTGCAAAGTTACTTTTAATAAGCACTCTTGTCTGTGTTAATTTTAAGTCAAAAGCAAAACAGTCTGAGGACACTGTAGTGGATTCATACATGTCATATACTAATCCTGAGGTGCCATAAACCAAATCTGATAGGCACTGTTGGTCAGTACAAACCAGTACAGCACAATTTGTGCATTTCACTAGTTTTCTACCTTCTTGGGTAAAAAGGGTTTATCTAAAAATGTGTTTTCTATATGTTTATTAGTTTACTGTGGGAAAGATACAAGGCACAAGACATAAGCAAATTATGCTTTACAGAGGTAGGCATATCAAAACCAGAGTGTTTTCTAAGGCTGCCTGTCCTGCACACCAGGCAGTTCCCAGCAGTGCCATGGCTGATGGCTGCTGGTCCTTGAGCACTGTACAGGAAACAGGCTGGTTCTGAGACATCTGTGACATCTTCTGAGACATCTGAGACATCTGGTTGGGTGATGGGTGGGTATAGAAGTGCCCAATTAAACTGGATTTTATTCCACCGGCATACAACATCTTGTCATTTTAGCTATGGAATTCTCACTGCTGAGAGAGAAAAAAAAAATTATTATAATAGTGATACATTATTGTAGCATATAGTACGTAATTAATTGTTCTAGAATCAATGTCAGTGATTTTTGTAGAATAA